ATTATATATATTCTAGGAGAATGTTTTTACAGAAAAAAATTTCTGGTTTGCTTTTAAGAGTGAAATAAATTATAGGTCAAGTTAAATACTTGATAGAATCGATGAGGGAAAAGAAGCTCAACATTAAAGTGCTTCACGTCATCAAATGAGGAACCGTCCTGTGTACAGACAGAAACGGAGACGCCAAAACCCAATCAAGCTATTGTTTATGACTTCCACAAGAAGTCCTGCCCTAAGGTGGACTGGAACAGGTGTCTGGGCTCCAAAGGAGACAGGTTGGACTCAGCTCACAGCAGTTAAGTAAGTACAGGTTGTGGCAGAATGAAGCATGCTCAGATATTCATCCTGAGGAATTTCTCTTGCATTATAAAATTTTTTTGCATCAAACTATAATTCTCTGAAAAGATTTCAGAAACCCCATCCCTTGTGTCCCTACACATTGGTTAATAATATATCCATCTGTAATGTATCTATCAGATATTTTTATTCATTTATATATTAATTTTTCTGTATATTCAACCACTAGTCCTCTGGATTTAAAGAAAATTAAAAAATAAAAATAATCAAGCAAATCCAAATCTGTATTTCTGAGATCTGGGTTCTGCCATGGATTGTTAGTTTGATTTCACAAAGTTTTGATTAAAAGAAGAAATTATGATGCTGAATTTGGTTTAACAACTATCCAGAAGATAAATTTTTTCAGAGAACTATAATTACCAATATCAGTTGAATATATAAAATATATAAATAAATATGCAATCTAAATATATAGATAATTACAGATAAATATTAATTTATATAAATATATAAATTATAAGTCAAACCTTTTCTTTTCTTTTTTGAGCCAGGGTCTTGCCATGTAGTTCAGGCTGGCCTTGATCTCACTATGTAGCCCAGTTTGACTTTGCACTACTAGCAATCCTCCTGCCTCAGCCTCCCACATGCTAGGATTATAGGGGTGTACCACAGTGCCCAGCAATTCAAATGTTTAACTTAGAAAACAGTGTAAAACCATTTTGTTGCAGGTATTCTAAAAATAGTTTTAATTTTTAGAGTATACTGAGTTATGTTTGTGGATATATTTGGTATATGGGGGCTTCGTGGTGCTTGAGTAATTTCTGAAAGATGCTTCTTAGGAAATGCTTAAGAGTACCCACTGCCTTTGTTTCATTCTGCAGTGTACAGCAGCATCTCTGAGGTGGATATAAGGCACTGTCCAGTATTAATTGCTTCTTCCTTCCCTATGCTAGTTTTCTGCCCATTTTCAACTTATTCTGGGAGGCTTGGAAGAGAACATCATTTTGGGTAAGGAGAAACTTCTGGTAGATAGACAGCACTCTATGTATTTATGTGGAAGATTGGTTATTTGTGATAGAACCATCAATGGTAGGATGGTAGGAGCTACATTTAAATATCTTTTCTACAGATCTCATCCAAGTAAAACCATGCAGGGCTATTAAAATCCCCAACCTGGTTAAAAAAATTAAAAAATACAATAATATAGCAAGGCATGGATGTTACTGATCTAGTATTCAAGCCTTCCTGAGTATATCAGTTCCAAGATGCTACTTACTTGTTCTTCCTTTCCCTTAGCATTGATGATTATGAAGAACTTCATTTAAATAAAGTTAAGCAGACAGACGTGGCCAGTGGCAACTATACCAGACAGTGCAGCCTTCGTCATTCCTAAGAGATACTTGGCAGGTGGATGCCTGCAAGAGGGATATTTTCTCAAATGCTGCCTTACAGAGCCCTGACCTTTAAAGGCAGATATCTGGTTCTCTGGATAGGGTTTATATTCTTTGTCTTTGCTCTTCTAGGTAGTGGTGGTCAGAGGTTTCATTGTTTGATTTGGAGTTCATTCCAAGGGAAATTCTCTAAGAGCCACAACTCAGGCATAGTGTCAAACATGTAATCCAGTAAAGACCAACAAAAAGAGTAAGAGAAACAGAAGCAAAAAGTTAGATCAACTCATGTTAATGTCAAGGTCATGTTAGGGGATTTCCCTTGGAGGTGAATTTTCTAGGGAAAAAGTCTCAGGGCTTAGTACATCTCCAGGGCTGTCTGTCATACGCAATGCTCCTTGGTGTCTCCTAATACCTGGATACAAAACAAGAGTCCCATAAAGAATTCCCCAATGCAACCGTTCAGCTGGAAAATCTGGGCTAACCCGACAGTGGGCAGAATGGTTCTTTAGAAGGATGGATGATTCTTGAAGCTCCCAAGCAGCTGTGAGGTAGAAACAGTCAACACTTTGGGTGTTAAGGCACAGACAAAATGATTAGAGCATAACTGGAGAAAAACTTCACACTAGTTACTGATCTGAACAAGTAAACATGGCATATGCAGAATTAAATGCCTTTCTGATAGAAGTGAAGGCCATTGTTCACCTGTGCTCATCTGTTACTTTAAAAGGCTCTGCGCTCTGTTATAGTAAAAACGAAATGTGTACTCCTTCAGTCCATGCAGAAATCAGTCACTTGGGGAGGTTTTACAGTTGCAAGATTCTTACCGGTATCAGTCTGGTCCTATATGGTTTTATAAACCCAGTTACCTTAGGAAATACATTAAACTGAAGAATTGAACATTTGCTCTGGTATGGCCACACGTGAAATGTAGCTGAGACTGTTCACTGTCTCGCAAAGAAATCTATCAAATAGACATTCTAGTGTCCTTAGTTTCTCAGAGAATAACATGGAGATATGCCCCCAAATCATCTGTGCTCAAGAAGTGTATACTTGTGCATTTATAATGGCAATTCTGGCACATTTTATCTCTAAATTTTCTTTATCAAAATTTGCAACTAAGGTAAGTACGTTATCTACTTTCTGTCTGTTTGATTCCAGGTTTTGGTATATTATTTCCCATTTCTAAATACCAGTGCTTTACCACTAAGCAGGAGAGGTATTATTCTCAGTCTTTCCCATATCTTCCTTCTGTTGCAAGTTTCCTTTTCCCACTACCTACACATTGCCAATTGTTAACTGAGAGTTAATAAGGTGGAACTGTGAATTATTTGAGTTTATATGCTTCAGGTTTGCTCTGGAAATGAAGTGCCACTCTTCTATTCGGGAGCCTGCTGTTTAATTTTTTTAAAGCGATGTCTTTTTTCAGTCCAAGTTTTAAAGTCTGGGACATTGTTACACAGAGCAAGCCAGCAAATCTTGTAATGATAGAAATCCACTTAGAGAGCTGTGTAGACTGCCTCTGTTATTCACATATCTTAAAATAGAATTCTTGTTAGACTCTGTCATTTGTATGTATATTGAAAACTTAGTATGAACAAAATAATGCAAAACACCTCAATATTTTTATACAGATTACATGGTGAAATGATATGTAGGATATATTGGTGTCAATAAAATATGCTATTAAGATGAAAATAACTTTCTGCCAATTTCCTTTTTGAAGTAAAACACGGGGATTGATATTCAATTGTTTTTTTTCAAAAAAAGAAGTCCTGACTTTTTACTTGGTGTATGTTTTTTGAAAAAGATTAACACAAAGAAATGACATAGAAACATAAATCCTTTGTTGACAGCAATGGGCATGAGGACCTCAGCGGTCCACACAGAGGCAATCTGTGCAGCTGCGAGCAGTCACAGCCTTCAGGTTGTGGCCCAGCTTTCTCTGGGATGCCTGTGGCCAATGACAGAGCACAAGGTAGTGAGCAGAGAGGGCGCACTCTGCCCAATATGGGGTTGCTGTAGTGAGCGATCTTTTCTGCTGCACTCCCCGTTTGCTGGCTGAGACTCCCAGAGCAGCACGGCAGTTTGAGGCTCTTCCTAAGAAATGCTCCTCCCTTCTCTATCTCCCTTTGTGGATATCAGACTCCATTCCAGTGTGAAAGATTGCCTTACTACCCGTTCTCTCCTCTTTGATTACAGACTTTTTACCAGTAAATCTGCTATTCTCCAACTGAAATTTAGATGGTTCCTAGTCTTATGCGATTACAAGTATGCATAATTTTCTTTATGTAATTGTAAATGTATATGTTGTGTATAGTATAAAATTCTTGGAGTAGAATGTCATAGTCAAAGATAGGTACACTTCAAAGTTTGAAGATGTCATTAAATTACTCTATGTGACATTTGTGTCAGCCTACAACACCCATCTGCAGAAATACAGCTTCTGTTTGCCCAACATACTCATAACATTGGTTATACTTTTTAAAATTTATGTCAGTCTGCTAGATAGAATGGTATCTCATTATCAATGATGACTTCAGTATAATGTCATCTATCTGTAAATTGATTTATATATTTCTTTTATGATATGCAGTCTTTCTATATGTTAAAAAAAGTGTTTTATGCCTGTCCATGGCAGCTTTCCCCCTAGTTTCATATTTGTGGTTGAGGCTTATGTTGTCCTGTACTGTGAATATTTTATAGTTTTTCTTTGTCACTAATCAAACACATACATAGCTGTGAAAATTTTTCTAGTGATTTTATAAATTATGAATAAAGAGAGAAAGTCCTCAAAAGTTTGCTTATTGTAATAAAATTTAAAATGGAATGAAGAAACTAACTGGAAGCTATAATTAGGTATAATATTACTACATGGATAGATATATTGAGGCAAACAAAAATTACAGTCTTACCCTTCTACCTTCCACCTTTCAGATATCCTACTAAAATGCACACTGAATTTTGTTTCTAGTATGACTATGACTTTTAAAATAGGCAAAACATTTCAATTGGTTTAATTCTCTGTTTTCTAGATGATTCCCCTCTGCTTGTGTTCTTTTAAGACTAGCGTCCAATTATTTAAGGATGCCATGTGATGATCTGAAAATTAAAATTGCCAGATACTGGATGAGCATGGTCAGAAGTGCTCAATGTGATATAATATACTTTCCTTCTGTCTGGGTGTTACTGGAAGGAAAGCAAATTAATGGGGAAAGTACAGAAGCATGGAAAGCAAGAGAAATCTCACACCTTCCAAAAGATTTTACTTAAAAAAATATAAACACATGGCTTTTGCCTTCAAAATTCTGTTACCCCAGCATATATAACAGAGGTAATATCATTCATTTAATCATGGAAAAGCCCTGAACATTTCCACACATTTACAAGTTTTTTCAATGGAGAAAGAAAAATAGAAAGATGGAAATTGTACACTCATACACATGTGTAATGCATGTCAAAATGGCCACCTGAGGATGCACAAAGAATTAAAAAATGTACTTTATTCAGATGAGGAATTGTTCTTACTGAAGAAATCTGAACTTACCTCCTTGTTCATCCAACATAACCAAAGTCCTGATACCAGCATCTTTACTCTATTTTCCAATTATGGTAGCAAAGTTGAAAAGGAGTTAGAGAGAGAAAAGAGAGAAAAAGAAATCAGTAAGGAGACAATTAGACCTAGAAATGGAAAATGAAGAAGGACTAAAAGCAAAAAGGGAGAAAGTATGGTGAGAGCATTATGGGGTCAGGGAGGGACTCAGAGGACTGGTAACCTGTGGATTTGTTCTTTCAGTGACTCTCAGAGGTAGAAGGAAGGATAAGGCTTTCTCCATAGGATAAGGTTGAGGGTGGAGGTTCTAACACATGAAATACATATTGGAATACACACACTGATATTATACTGTAATTTTATATCTGGACAATAAAAACACCTATAGCTTTCCTAATAGCAACCACAGAAAGAAAACCTTTCAAAAATATTCTAAATTAAATTTTTTTTCACTGGCATAATCTATTAGAAAGTCCCAGTCAGTGAACTGGGGAAGGATCACCACGGGGAAGACTAAACATCTTGGGGATGAGGTTTTTCGGTTTATTAGAAGAAAGCATGGCTTCGCAAAGGTTAAGAAACACAGCTCAAAAGGAAACTCATTCTTCTATTTTCTCTATTAGGGAAAAAGTTCCGCAAGATTTAGAAAGGGGAACAAAATGAAAATAAGGGCTTTTTATACTGAAATCTAAAATTCTCACAGTGATATAGACAGTAACAGCAAACCTTTTACAGCTTTCGATGATAATGAATAGCCGGCTGTGGCACTTGTGCTATACCTTTGCCACCACTGATACAGAGTGAGAAAATAACTTCTCTACTAGCCCACTGCAGTTCCTTTGTGCTAGAGAAATTAAGGCATTCCTCACCTTACTCCTTACTATCCAAATAAACAATACTTTCTGAATTATTGGGAGGATGGGAATGGGAGTGGGTAGGCAGGGGAGAAGGAAGACACTCATATTATTCATACATAGGAATCACCATTTCTAGGAATTCTAACCAGGTAAGTGAAGACTTTCCGTTATACAAGGTGACTATTTATGGGTATAAAATGCCACGGCATGTAGTTTGGATTAATTGGTTTTTCAAGGAAAGCTTGTGGAAACCCAAGGAATAAATTCTAAAACAAGACATCCCTTGTATCCCTACTTATTTTTCACCAACTTACTTACAACTAAGAAAAGAAGCAGGAAGTGTTGGTGGGGACCAGCAATTAAATTCCAGTTGTGCCTCTCAAAAATAAAATAAAACACTGCAAATTGTTTCTGTGAATTTTTATAAACTCGGCATTTTAGAGAATTGTGCAGTTAACTCTGCGGGACACAAAAGCCTACATGGCCTTTGAACACACTTAGGCTTTAGTGGCCATGTCTGGGTGCAGTGGGGACAATGGTGGCCCAGCCTGACTTCCAGAGGAGCCATCCTGGGCCAGAGTCCTGGCGATTTCATTTACTAGCAGTAGGATCTCAGGCAAGGGTCCCGATTGCTCTGTGCCTCAGTTCTCTCATTTGTAATACGGCAATAATAGTTTATATCTCACAGAGTCTCTATGTAAATTCAATAAATTAATGCCTGGCATGTGTTAGAATGGAGGCTGGCTTACAGTTACATGACATGGAGTGCTTATAAAATGAGTACACTTATAAAATGCACGCATAGCAGGACCTCTAGGCAAACTAAAACTACCATCATTACCATTTACTATCAGAAGCTTATAGACCACTACCATTCAAACATTAGTGGCACACGAAGCCCCTGAATATGAGTCATCTTGTTAAAGTTCAGATTTGGATGCAGTAGAACTGGGGAGGAGCCTGAGCTTCTAACTTTCTAGCAAGTGCTTGGATGCAGGCTGCTGGGCAAAGACATCACTGAAGAGAAAGATTCTAGACCACAAAGGCATCACCAAATCTTCTCCTTAAATGTGTTGTAAATGGACGTTTGTCTAAAGTAGCCTGTATCTTGCTGACCTCTTTGCCTTTTCCTGTGTATTTCAGCCATTCCCTGTGAGACAAAATTATGAGAAGCAGATGGCTTTGCAGACATACAGAGGTGACGGTGCAAGTTCTGTTGAGGGCAGAAGCATCTCAGAGAGGATTTTCTACTTGAGAAACCAATCAGGTTGTGCCTGTGATCTCAGTTCCTTTCTATTAGGGACAGTGGATGGAGGAAAGGTTACTGATTTTGGGCTCGGTTCTCACCTATTTACTCATTTTATCATTCTGTTATACCCATTTATTTTACATGGAGCCTGGCAAGTACAGTTTTTCATAGATTCGTTTTGGTGTGCAGTGTTTCCGCACTAGAATGATTCACAGAACGGATCTGAAGGAGCAGGATCACTCCAGTCTGCAGAGAGAACAGCTGCAGGGAGGACTGACATGGAAGTAAAGAAAACTGGATTTTACACTTAGCTCAGCCACCAGTAACAGGAGGGACTGTGAAAGGGTCCGCAAAGCTTTCTGGATATTTTCCTTTGTTACACATAAGGTCAGAGATGCCAAGTAAGATAGTATGGATACTAGGTTGGCTCATTCACTTATCCACTCATTCTTCCATTAATTTATTATTTCGTTCGTTATTATTTTATTTCCTAATCCGTTCATTTATTCAGTACATGTTTATCAGTCCGCTACTCTGTCCTAGGCTGGGAGTCTGAAGTTCCAAATCCTAGACCTATCTTTGTGGTCCTTTTGCTCTAACATCACCTGTTCTGTGTCTCAACTTCCCTAGTTGTCAAACGGGGAGAGTTAGAGCTCCTTTGCAGCACACAGTCATTATGAGGATGATTGAACTACAGAAAGGACAGCTCTTAAGAGTCAGTTCAACTCTATGGGAGGCTGTGCTGGATGCAGGAAGGAATATAATGATGATACCCAAGATTTAATTTGAGTGGAATCTCAGCTCTTTTAGAATGGGTTGCTTTTGCTTCCTTAGATCCTTTTGCCTGTTGTGGAAGTCTAAAAAAAAAAAGTTGTAGGAATTGCTGGTGGAAGGGAAGTCAAATGTTGTGCGTAATAATTCATGTTCAGAAATCAGGTGGACCTGGATTTTGACTTTATCTCTGCCCTTTATAGCTATGTGTCTTTAGCAAGTTACTTAGCCACTATATGCCTCAAAATAAAAATGATGATCAGAGCAGAAGTAAAGTGTGGCTAAAAGATTAAATTAGATTGTATATTTGATGACCATGGTGATGACAATGGCTTCAAGCCTTGTAGACCACCCATAAATGCCAGAACTTGTACTTGGTTCATAATTTTGCTAAGAGCCTCCATCAAACAATTAAGTTGCTCTTTGGGAGAACTAGCGGCTCAGAGGAAGGCTGGGAAGGGAGACAATACTTCTGAGAAGGCAGAATATTGCTTTCCCTTATTCCTAAAGAGTATTATGTTTTTAATGGCTAGCAATAAGTGTAGGCAGTTCTATTTTTACTGCAGCTCAGTTCTCCATTTCCATTTGAGAGCACTAGGAAAATAGTCTACCTAAAAGGGTAGAGGTAGAGAAAGGAGAGATTTTTCTATTTTTTGCTTCTTTCTGTTTTCAAATTTATTTCTCTACCTTTATTTTTTTAAATGAGCTAAGGCAATGTTCATAGATAACTTTTAAATCTTTCTTTTCTTACTTTGAGGTGCTTTCTCCAATACATTTGCCCTACAGTTAGGAGACCCTGGCACTCGCTGAAGGTAAAAAAATAAAAAATCCATATCACTCCCTACTTGAATTTATTTAATTTTTAGCAAAACCCTGATATAACACAAACATAGCTTTTAGAATACTTATTCTCTTCCTATAGCCAAAGTGTTCTGAAAGATAAGGTTCAAGAGGCATAAAAAGATACTAAAACATTCACAAAATGTTAGTGATTCAATAACCATTCCATGAAAGCAGAGTGAGGCTTGTGAATGACTTGCCCTAGAGCAGTGTGGCTTTTCCTGGGTTTAGTTTTCATAGCCCAAAGCATTAATGTGTAGACTTAATTTCCTGCATTTAAAATTAGCAGAGTTAACTCTTTCTTTTTATGGGACATCAAATATTCTCTCTTTGAGAATACCTCCATGATTGTCCTACTAGGATTGTTTGGTCTTCTGTGAGCCCAAGGCAGGTATGTTCTTGAATTTAGAGTAATTTAAATATCTGTTGCCCTGTAAGATATTAATTTATGTCTTCCTTACTATACTCAGAGTTTGGCATTCCATAAATACTTGTTAAAATACACCAACAAAAAGCAAGCTCCCAACTCCATGCCAGTGACCAAGTGCTACCTGATTTCTTTTTTTGGTGCCGGGGATTAAACTAGGTTCTTGCTCTTGCAAGGCAGGCCACCGAACCACTGAGCTAAATCCCCGGCTTGCTACATGATTTCTAACCTTTTAAATCTCTCTGTGATGTTCAGCATTTCTGAAGTTTCCCACCAACCTCTGGATACCTTTACACTGTCCTTGAAATGCTGATGGCTAAAACTCTATTAAAAAGCAAGTCCTCACCCTTGCCAAGCTTTTATACTCTAGAGTCTATTAGGGATGGAAGAAAGTTCTATATTCCATGGAAAACGGGATGGCCTTAGGGAGACTTCACAGTTTCAGAAATGTTTCCTGTCTTTGAGGCTGGATTTTAATATAGATTCAGTTCAATTTAAATTACACAGCACTGATGAACTTTGGGATCATGGGCAAGATCCTGATATTTCAGAGCTCAGATTTTCCAAATGATTTCTGCCCTTGATGAATATTTAATGTTGATTCTATTTAAAGAGAATTTCCTTTTTATAAAAAAAATAGAAAAAATAGAATATCATCTGAATAGCCAATGACCTAGACACTGAGGGTGTTTTCCCATAAATATAAAATAACCCACGAGGAAGTAGGAGCAAATCAATGTACTCCAGGAATGCCTCGCTCACAATTTCCTAAGGATGGAAAGCCTAATCGCCTCCTCTCATTTATTAGAGGTAGGAGATGTTCTCATTGGTTTTACTCCTTGTTCTAAGATGCAACATTATGCTTGATTGAGAAACACTTTAGGGGAAACAAAAATATAATTTGAGAATCCTGCTTCAGTCAATAGACCTCTGGGGAATTTTTTTTTCTTAGAATAAATTAGATCAGACACTGATTTTTCAAGACTGGTCAATACTGCTGGCGGTTGAAGAAGACATGAAAAATAAATGTTCATATCCCCAAGACTGATGAGTGAGGGGTCAGGTCAAGGCAGTGCATTCTGTGTTCTGCCTTTGCCTCAATGCTTCCCACAGTCTGGGGTGGCGAACCTATGGCACGCGGGCCACAGCAGGCTGTTTGTGTCACTGAAATCTCTAAAAGGTTCCCACCACCGGTAGGTAGTGCTTCAGAAGTATGCAGGCAGGCAAACTGGGGACAATTCTGGCATTTTGGAAATGTCCAACACTCGTGCATGTGCAAAACCAAAAATGAAAAGTGAGAATGAAGGCTCTGATAGAGGGCCATACACCTGTACTGTGATAATAACATTGAGAGTATGCAATAAAATAATAGCGCCATTTAGTTCCAGGTTCCATTGAGGTTATCATCAGAGCTCACATGGGCACAGTCCTAATGGTTGTTCTCCTCCTTTATTTATGATAAGTTGGGGAGAAGTGTATGCAAAGGACTCCTAGGCTTAGAATATCTGTCTACTTCTTGCTCTTTAAGTTTTTCTGTAGAAACTGTTCCCAGAGCAGAGTAAAGAAAACATTTCTCTTCATTTAGAAGACAACAGACCTCTTTCCTGGACCGCCTTTCCCGTAGGGACCAACTTGTGCCACAGTGCAGGCTCAAATTGTCAGCTTTGAAATAGCAGATTTTTCTTTTCTTTTTTTAAGGGAACTTATCTTTGCCATATTTTCCCCATTCCTCCTGTGGCAATTTGCATTTAGCCATATTTCATTCCTAGATGAGAAGTTAGAACTGCAGAAATAAGGGAAGATATCAGCTCCTATTGTGTGAGAGGCAGCTGCCTTTCCTTCAGCCTTTTTGAAATTTATCCTTGTTTTCCTTTTCATGTCATTGAATAAGCAATTTACAGTAGCTCAAGGTGTATATGTCGGCTCATTTAATCGTTCTGTGAGAGAAAGTCCAAGATCTCTAAAAATGATAATCACACATGAATTTAGAACTTGATAAGCAGAAGCATTCAAAGCACAGCTAAAACACCATCTTACTGAATAAAAACTATTAGGCTTGTTTTATTAGGTTAAGATAAATATAGTCCAAACCATTCTTTTTCCATTTCATCTCTCCCAAAAGGCAGGTTCAATTAATCCATTTATTCTTCCTGGTTGACTGCTGCTCTACCAAACTGGAATGAGTGAGGTTTACTACAAATGCCCTTTTGATTCCATTACTGCTATCTGCCCTACTTTACCCATTTAAAAATAGTTTGGCATTCATTAACCATTCTTCTCAGATGGATGTGCAATCAGAGTCAGAAATATAAAAGAGTTTATATTTATATTATTGGACTTGATTTTTTAAAAGATCATTCCTATTTTTTCATAAATTTTAGTGCCTCTTCCTCTAAATATAACAATTCCTAAAGTCAAAACAGAATTTTGAGTTTAGATATTATTTATAGGCATCAAAATAATTATAAATGAAGTTATTATGTAGATAACTCCTTCATGTAATACAAATTGCTCTGGTTTGCTTAATGAGATCTAATCTTTTGTGATGGCTTGGAATTACAATGTTCCTCTGTACCCCAGATTATAAAGGTGGTCTGGGCTGGAAGGGAGGGTGGGTTTACCTTGATGACTACCTGGCAACTTAAACACACCATTTCCTTCCTTATGTGGCATGGGAGAGGCTATATTAACACTGGAAGCAACAGGATCACGGGGAGGCAGTCGGGCCCAGGAAAAGATCATGTCAGCATAAAGGATGAGACTCCTCATTTTAAAATAAAGTCACTCCTTACCTCTTCTACCAGTTGCAGCATACGCCGGGTGCTTTCCAGCGACTAAAATTAGAAAGAAACATTGTAAATGCAAAAATGAGAGATCTTGGAAAGGCAGAAATATTTTCTTCATTTGAGAAACACAAAGGGTCCTTATCACATATTATTTTTAGGTTTGTAATTGAAACACAAAATGTCTTTTCCATTTTTCAATCTCATTCCTATTGGGCTTTCTACATGATTAGATTCCCTAAAGCAATTACATGAAAGCTTATCTTCATAAAATCAAAACCATATGAAGTTGATCTTGATATTAAAGACAAAGTAATCTGGAAAAGATAATTTTGCATGCTCAGGATGCATGCAAAATTATCTCAAATACTCAGAAGACTAATTTGGTCTCCCTCTGCTAGGAATATTGAATTTTAAACACAAACATCATTTCTCAGGAATTGAGATAAATATAGCATCAAGTTTCTTATAAAGTTCCTAGAAGCACAATTGGAAGTTGTTATCAATACAAATTAAGCTGTCCCCTAGGGTGAAGAAAATTAGGCATGTTTGAAATAGCTAGCCTATAAGAGACAGCTATAATAATTACCTTCATACTTAGATAAGAAAAAATGCATAGGAGAGTCTGAGTTCAGTGCTGATCCCTCAGGCACAGAGTTGTCACTTTTTTCTTGGGTCTTCTAACACTACTAGAATCCAAAAACCAGTGTGATTTCTCGAAGCCTCGCTTTTAAGTGACAAGCTTATTTTGGCCAAGAATCTGTAGAAACCTGAAGGATGTTAACTCTCCTGGGAAAGACTTAAGGAGGCTGCTTTTTGTTTAAAATGGCTAGAAGCAGTGGTATGCTGGTAGATGCTTAACCGGCTGTTTGGATCTATAGGCACATAATGAAGTTTATTATTTTACTGATGTAAAAGACGAATAGCACAACATTTACAAATAATAAAATAGACAACACTCTTGTAAATTCCGTATAGGCAGTTGCTTCTAGCACATAGCTTTTTATAATTTTTGCTGAACTCAGGGTCCATAGCTAACTAGTACTGTGACACTGAGGTTGATTGGGTAGTTTAATTTATGTTCCTAAGAGGAAAATGAAACAATGAAGATACACTTTGGAACTTGATTCTTTTGTCAATAAGCAAAGTAATGGCTTTGCTGACAAGAACAATAGTTTCCAATTAATGAAAGATTTCCTCAGTGTTTTGCATTATTCATAGTATAATGGCTACAGACATGCATACTTTTAAGTTTAATCCACATTATGAATATTTTCTTTACTTTCTTAACTCTAGGCAAATCAAAAAACAGTAAATCAAGCTCTGATGTGCAGTGTTTTCAGAGTCCATGGTAGAAATATTCACCCTATGCGATCTCTAACTACAATATAATGTTACTGTCCACCAAGCTGGGAAGATCTGCAGTAACACCCCATTAGACGATATTCCTGTCTCAGATAGGATGGATGCAAACAAGTCAAGAGCACAGATAGTGCTTACAGCAAACCAGCTCCAGCACACCCCTGCTTGCAAGTCACTCAGACCCTGCTTTTCTCAGCAGATCGCCACCTCTAGATTTCTAGAAATCAGGAGTTAGGGCCAAGACATTAATTTGTATACATGTTTTATAATCAACCTATTCCAGTCTGCAGACACCTTCGTGTATAGGAAGTAAAGTCATCACTTTTATTTTAATTTGCGACAGTAGAAAAGACTTTTCCCAAAACCTGAATGAGGCAAACCCTTCCGCTCCCCGTCTCTTGCTTGTCTCCTGTTCTCCACCGCTCACCTCATCAGCCAGCTGGTCAGCCCTCCGCTGCATCTCCTCCAGCTCATTGCGCATGTCTGCATCTTCGGCCATGGTAGTGGTGGGCGGGTGGCTGGACGCCTGGCCAGGGGGTCAGTGATGCCCTTGGCCACGGAACCTGAGAAAAAGCAGATTAAAAACTGTGGGAGTTTTTATAGGTGTGTGTAGACAAAGGAAAAGACCAGAAAATCGAAACGACCCACACTCAGTCCCCATGGTTTATTGGACTGCTGAAGTACAAGACACACTCACATAGGGGTCAACAGCATTTTGCCACTTATCCAAAAGGCTCGATGAATGTATGCCTGAAAACTTTAGTATGGAGAAGACAGAGTCCTGTCCATAGGTGAAGGGTCTTAAAAACACAAAGCACCCAAGGATTTGGAATGATGGATGGACAGATGTGTTTCTATACTTTTAATGTCACAGTTATTTTTATTTTAAAAACAGCTTTATTGAGGTCTGATTGACATAGAATCATCCCCATAAATTGGAAGTGACACCTTTGAAAAGTTTCAGCATATGTATACACCCACAAAACCATGACAACAATCAAGAAAATGAACAAATCTGTCACTCTCAAAAGCTTCTGTATACTGTTTGTAATCCTAACCACCCACTGCTACCAACCCTACCCCACTCTACCCTTATGCCCACAAAACTGCTCATCTACTTCCTTACCATATTTTCATTTCCTAGAATTTTATATAAATGAAATCACATCTATCCACTATTTTTGGGGCCTGTTTTTTTCCACTTAGTATAATTATTTTGAGGTTCATCCATGTAGCATATATTAATAGTTTATTCCTTTTTGTTGTTGAGTAGTATTCCATCATATAGAGATGCATTTGAAAATGTAGGCCAACATATTTTTTTGTCTCTAATTGTTATCAAAGGTTGTCAAGAGGATTGATGTGTGAATGGGCCACTATCGTTCCAAGGAGAAAGAGACCTGGGCCTTAAACACGACCAGCCTATTTCTTGGCTATTCTCTTGAAGTCCCATGTAGTACAAATCAAAGGTGGTAGGACTGAGAGCAAACTACCCTCCTTTCCTCCTTTCTTCCTCCCATCTTTCCTTCCTCTCAAATATTTCTTGGGTACCTGTACTGTGCTGGGACAGAACTGGGTGCTAGGGATATAGTTATGAGCAAGACAGTCTAATCAGGAAAGTAGGAGTAAAAAAAAAAGAAGGAGGTCAGCTTATTCCATGTGATAGCATGGCCCTTGAGGTCCTGCGTGGTTCTATGGGTGTGCCTAGGGGCATGCCAGGCCTGCCTCCTTGTGTCCCTAGACATGGCCATTCGAGGGAGGGGAGTAAGAAGTCTAAGGTGACATTTGAGATGATACTTTATGCGTACGAAACAGTGAACACTTGTCTGATAGAATGATTGTGGGCAGTACGGGCTCTTGTCCCATAGCTGAGCTAGTCAGTTGTGCACGGCATTTGTTCTCCCTTTTGCTTGGCAGAGCATGATCTCTGGGAAATGTGTGTCCAGTCAGTAACTGCATCTCCAGGCCCCTCACTGCAGGGAGATGGTGCTGTGTGGCTGGAGATGGTCCATGAATTAGTGGAAACAATGTGTATCCCTGTCATTCTCGGCATTTCAGAAGCTTGTATTTTATTCCCTCTCTTTCTCTTTTTGCCAGCAAAAGCAGAACCCTGGGATAATCATGCCATGAGACAGCAGGAAATTAGGAGCCTCCAAATCTCCTCAGGGAGGAGAGGGATGTAGACCAAAAGCATCTGAATTCTTATGTCAGGAATCAGTACAATCTATTGATCTCAGCTACTGAACATGTGAGCATTTTGTTTGGTTTTGTTATAGCAGCTGGTGTTACACTTAACAATAAAGTCCTGATGAAGCTTGAATAGAAACATGAACATGATTTCCAAACTGAAAAACACATTTATGCTTGTCCTTCTGGAAAGGCTTGGAGAATAATTTGATTTAGGGCTTTGGAGAAATACTATATTATTATTTGTATCAGAATCACCAAAATAAAGTGCCTTATTGGGAGGCAAAGAGACAGGTTCTTGAAAGGAATCGGGGAGGCAGCTTGGTGAACCCTTCTCCTGGGCCCATTGTGCTGTAGCTCTCTCAATTGCATAGACTGAATGCCTCTGGAATTTCAATTCAGCACACAGTATTAGATCTTAAACATTTATTACTTTTGTGAAGCAACTCTTACTATTTAGGAAGAATCCTAAAACACAGCTTCTTTGGAGATAATAGATTTCACAACTCTTTTCTATTGCATGATTCTTGGACAGGCTGTCAAATGCAAATTCATTGTGAAAGAAAAGAAGTTTCAGGGCTGCATTTTACTACTAGCATTAAAAAAGGCAGGGAGGGCCCAGAATGTAGCTCAATGGTTCCGCAGCCTGCCTTGAAAGTACAAGGTCTTGAGTTCGATCCCCGGTACCAAAAACAAACAAACAAACAAAAAGGTAGGGAGATTATGCTTATGTTAGGTTGGTTTTTATGGGGAGTCTGTTAAAAAACATCAACAGAGCATTATACCATGAACTCGCTAATTTTTAAATGCCCATTATGCCTGGCTACTGGATATAATTATCATATGATATAAGCATAGAGGCTGTAAATACGTATGATTCTCCATTTTAGAAATTAAGATTTAGGAAACAGAAACTGGAAGAAATTTAAACTAAGTCACTCCTGAGCTTCAAAAGGAGCTGGAAGAAAATTCCAGTGCTCTCCTGAGTGATAGATCTATCCTCCAAAATAAAATGGTGGACCATTGAAACTGTTGGGTAGATTAAGGGCCAGAGTTCAGTAGAGTGGATGATGGCTTTGGTAGTTGAAAGACTAAGTTGGACTGTTGGTTGTGGCACTCAAAAGCTGGGTGACTTTGGGTCAGTTAATTATCTTCTCTGAGTCTCAGCTTTCTCAAAAGGGTGAAATATATCAAGCTCATAGGTTTGTTGAGGGGAATAAATTATGGAAAGTTCTAATCAATTTTTTAAAGATATAAGGTTCAATATTCGGAATGCCTTGCTCATTCAGATAGTACTATACTTTTTCCTAAGAGTGGAACAAGCTGGTGTCTGTTAATTAGCTTTCCTTACTAATGGCCTCGCATGCAGCATGTTTCTGTGGTGCCCAGCACCCATGGAAGCTGAAACCAGGGAAACCACCAAAGTATTGAGTCTCTAGTCAGAAAGCAGCACTTCTCATGGGATTACCGTGGGAGACAAACAAGAGCACTTTCTGGCCCTGTTCTCCATCTTCCTGAATTGCTACTCAGTTTCTTGGGGGGAAGGTCTTTCATCTTAAGCAAGTGCCTGGTCATTCCCTTTAATACCCCAACTTACTAAAAAGCAGAGATCTGTGTGCATTCAGACCTGTAGCACTATTGCTATTTCCCATTCTATTTACTAATGGCAGCCTGTCTAGGTCTGGTGAATGAACAGGTGGCATAATGGCAGAAAATCTTGTGATAGATCCCTATGTTTCTCTCTTTCATGGTCACCAGGAGCTCCCACCACCCTCATCTCACTCTGCAATGCAGGGTTATGTTTGTGGAAAGAGGGCTAATGAATCTTACAGATCTCAGTAACATAGCATTTCAAAGCTGAAAAGCAGCATCTACCCTCCTGATGAAAAAGGCTGGAGAGTGGGTGCTGAGCCCAACTTCAGGTCATCTGCTGCGGTATTTATCACTAGTGTCGGATAAAGTGTCCCCACAGATCCCAAACCCATACATGCTGGCATTTCTAAGAGACAGGTGTAATGATGGTGATTAGCTGTCGTATCAGTAGCTGAAAGGGTGTGAACAGCGAAGTGGTATTTATTACCCAGGTGGTGTGGAGCACTTCAGTCCTATTAGTGCATTAAAATTCCTTCCTGCACACTTCCTGGGCTGAAGATGTGGCCCAGACAGAAAAGCCTGCTTAGTAAGTGAAGATGGGAAAGCCAGCCACTCAAGACATCTCCCTGGGGCTCTGATGTAAGGCAATTTCCCAGTCCATTAAAGACTGAATGGTATCTTATTAATTATCTCAAACCACCAGCACTAGCAGGTGTTCAGTTCATGTTAATTGATTTGTTGAATGAATGAATGAACCCCTATATTCTGACAGTAGATTATTTCATGTTCCCAAATCAGCACTTTACAAGTTGCATTTAGGACAGTTTATGACAACGCCAACAGGAGTCAGAATCATCACAAAACTTCTTATCACAGGTTGCTGAATCCAAAACACAGAGATTCTGAGGTTCTGTGTTTCTAACAAACTCTCGCATGATTTTGACACTGTTGGATCATAGACCCCAATTCAAGGAACTCCGACCTGTAGAACATGCTCCCTGAAATGTTAATAACTGTCACATGGTGGGGTGGGGGACAGTGGGGAAACAGTCAGCTCCATAAACCAGGGCCTCAGCGGGCTATGAGGGCCCATGCGTGAAATCCCCCTATTGCCTGCTTTGATATTGAGCTTCTGCTAAATAAGAGCAGTTTTTACATTTTCAAGAGTGTAAAAACATTATGAAATGAAAAAACTTTGTGACATATAAAATCATATATGCTCGCTTACTGTAATGCCACAAATGCCACCCACAAAAGCCAAAAATGTTTATTACTTGGGTCTGTACAAAAAAAGTTTGTGGATCCCTGGCTTAAAATAAGCTAACCAGAACTATTTAATCATTCCTTATCAGTCTTTAATATTGTCAGAGAACTGTGCATTTCCTATAGACAGACATAGTGTAGCATGTTTTTTGTTTGTTTGTTTGTTTATTGTCTATAAAAACTCCTCTCCATGGAGGTTTTGCTGATGCTTTTTGGAACACATTTTAAAACAAGAAATAAAGCATGGGGTAAAAATATAAAATATGAAAATAAATTTGCCTTTGTCTAGTCCTATAGGATTTTAGGATTGTAAATTAGATTTAATTTATGCAGTCAGCTTTGAGGCATGGGGTGGCTTATAGTGTGATTATTGATTTCCATGGCCAGCTGCAGACAAAGGTTCTGCGATACAGAAGCAATACTGGGCTGTTTATCTCAAAGACAGAGACTTCTGACCTTCTGCCACCGTCAAGGTACTTGGACCAAGTGGGCATTCTGCAGCCATGCTTTGGTGTCTGGG